GCCCCCATTCCAGCAGTGAGTGTATTGTCTTGGCAATAGGCAAAGAAATGGCGGGCCTGGGAGAGCTAGCTGCATATCATGTCTGAGGATGGTGTTACGCATTGTCTGGTCCTTCCTCAGCTCAAATTTAGCCTGGACAGCTTCAAGAAACTGCCAAAGTAATCCACAAGCAGATACTACCTAATAGCTAGCTAACTGCATGCAACATCCAGAAGTTACTCCTAACCTTCAGACTGAGACAAATATGGGTCCATAGACTTGGTACCTTACTTTAAAGTAAAGGAATTTAAAAATAACTGAAAACTGTACCCAAATTATTTTAATAAATATAAGTTTTCATTCTTTTTACAGATTTTTCTGTATCTTCGAGGTTCATTATTGTCTCTGCGGGCTTAGCAGCACTTTCAATAGCTGCTGTGACAGTCAACACATGGACAAGAACTAAAGGTAAATTTAATTTAATCATGTAAAGTTAAAGATTTAGAATTTTCACTTGTAACTGAAATTGACTTTCTTCTCTCATTTTAGGGAATAAAACACAGATGGATAAAGTTGCCGTAAGTGCATAACTCAGTAATGCAGTATAAAAGCTTAAAAACCTGAATGTTGAGTTTCTAATGTTTGATATACTTGATATCACTGCAAGTGATTATGCTGAGATTACTTTAGATTTCTTGTACTAAATGTTGATTCAGCAGAGGACTGAGGTTCAGAAGTTTAAAATGCAAAAGGTGCGGTTCTTACCCAGCAAGCTACACACAAAACTAACCTTCAAAATAAAACACAAATTAACCGGATGAAAAAAAAAAAGAAAATAATAGAATTACAAAGACAAACAGTGAGATACAGATTAGGCAAACAAGGAACAGAACTTTAAAACAGGAAGAGGAAACTAACAATTATAACTTAAACCAGAGATAATTACAAAACCATTATTACAAGATTATTTGTCTTAATCTCACATCTTATGCATTTTATTTTATTGTATTTTATTTGGTTATTTTCTGCAGGTGCATTTTAATAAAGAAGGGGATTAAGTTTCAAAAAATAATAAGCATCCGAATCTCTGCTGTTTCTATCAGATTGTGCTGATCGACATCAACTCAACAGAAAAACTGCTGTTATATTATCAGTATCATCTCATCTTGCTTTATAGGTCACATCCTTAACCCTATAATGCCATTTGCATCATATTTGCTACATGAGTTTCTGAGACTGCTATCTCATCAACATGATCAATACTTGCCATAATTTCAAAATGTAATGAACAAAACTATGTTTTTTGTCTAAAATTGTCTAAAAAAAACTTGCTAAAAATGCCTAATGTATTAAATGTGATGCAACAAATAATATATCATAAAAATATATAACAAACAACATGATGTAGCAAAAAAAGGATTG